AAAGACATCACAAAAAAAAATTTACGCAGAAAATAAAATTGAATATTCCTAGAATAATTCTAAAGTCAATAAAGATTCAAAAATTCATTGAAGATTTCCAGCAGATCAATTGAAAATGTCAATTTCTAGAAATCTAAACCATTTAATTGCCTTGAGCTGCTGAGCTACATCAAAAATCGTCTGTTACCACCAGATTTCGTTATTTTAACATCAAAAGAATTTATAAAGAAAAAAACGAGAGATGAAAACTTTTTTAATTAGCGTAGTTCAGAGAAGAACATTTCAACACATATCCTATGTGCTATTTAAAAATTCATTTCTGATTCCAATACTTCTACTTCACGTACTTCTCATTTTGAATCGTAACTGAGAACATATAAAATAGATCAAAAACACTCTCTTGAAACTAGTTGAAATTTATTTTATTTCTGCTGTCAGAAAAACTTTTCCTCATTCTTATTCGTGTTTTTTTAAAAACTTGCATCTATGTGGGAGAATACCCAGTGGGACTTGATACTTGCAAAAGTTTCTTGTTGAATTTTTGAGGTCGTAAAGATATTAATTATCTGGAACACAAGAAACGTGCAGTTTAAGTGATGGCAATTTATGGATAATGGAAGATAATTTTCAAACAATATGCTCAACAATTTGGTTCCTCCTCCCAAACTTTATGTACTACATTCCAGCCCACACAAATAATTCGACTTTAGGGCTATTATGATTAGAAAATTCTATCGAACATTAAATCTGTTGCATTATTTGCAATTAATAATTAAATTCATTTTCATTACGTTCGATAAGCATGAAAGCAGATTTTAATAGTTCTGACCAATAAAAATTAAGTTGAGTGCGGTAATAGGGTTGAAAATTACTCTCGTAATCGAATGTCTAGCCAATAAAAAACAAGCTATAACAATAAAGAGACTAATTTCAATAGTTTTATAGAGATATCATGTTGTAAAGTTTATTAAGCACAAAAAAGTTAAAGCTTTTGAAGATCAAAAGTTTTGAAAGAATTTAATGATAATTTTGGAATTCGGTTAATAGGAATTTTATTGAAAAGTGTTATTGAGGTTAATTAAATGTTTAATTTCTATTTGGAATCATTTAATTATTAGAATTGGTTACCAAAAATCTAATTAGATTAACTTGTTTTAAAAGTCAAAGAAATCAATGCCAATCGACATTTTTTTTCGACCAAGAAGCTTTTCCTACACAAAAAAAAATACTTCCAATTAATCATATTTCATTTATTATCGAACATTGAATGAAAAAGAAACAGCACAGCAAGATATTTTCTATTTCTATTTGCTTTTATTTTCAGCAATTTGATAAAAGGAAATGGCAAAAAAAAATCATTTCAAGATAAAAATGCTTGCGCAAAAAAAAAGCCAAAATTGAGTACGCTCCAATAAAGAATTCCAAGTGAAAGGGAAAAAAGAATGGGATGAAGAAGAAAAGAAATCTCGAGTTTTATTGAATTTCATATAACTTCATTTCGATATGTTATGTGAATATTTCAAGCGAAAACTCATATCTAGCATCTTAAAATATTCTATGAAATTTACGCATTTGAATGATGAAGAAACTCATCATATTTACATGATAAACAAAATGCTAATGGGAAGGAATGTAGAATGAGGAATCACTATACGAAAGCTAATCAAAAGCTCGTGTGAGTGTTTCTAATTCTCATTAAGTAATTAATGCTTTAAGTACACATCACATCATTTAAATGTTCTTCTTTCATTCCATTGATAACACTCGTGTGAATTGGGGGTAAAAAAAAAGTTTGAAGATGTATTCAGGATATGTCCCATGAGCGCTTTTTCTATTAATTAATTTTCTATACATTGATTTGTATTATAAGAGATTTATCTGGAGACTCTAATGAACTGCTGAGCTATTCGTGGTTTCGGTCGATAAACTTCTTGTTTAATTTTGCTTTTATTTATTCTGTGATTAAGGAGCGTATTAAAGAACGGATTTTGAAATCAAAAACGGCAACAAATCTTGATCAGAATTGTTTAAAATTCAACTTTGGTTTTGATCTTAAAACGCTCATGCTTCACTAGTGTGCTTCGACACAACGTTTAAGAACAACTGAACTATGCAAATACTTAAAGAGCAACTCACAGTTTCCAAAAAATAATTAATTAATGTAGTTGGCAATCATGAAAAGCAACTACAAAGAGAACTCAACCCACAAAAACCAATAATTGGCAAATATTGAAACCAAAAAAAAACAACATTTGCATCTTAATTAAATTAGTTCCTTAATCATTGATCTCTCTCGACATTATCTTCCAAAAATAAAAAAAAAAGCTTAATCGCCATATAATCTGTTCATAAATAGTCTTCATTGCAGCAAATCTCCCGCAACAACTTTAAAGTCATTAATCCACACCGTTTTCCAATTATGAGCAATATCAAGTCAGCTAGCCATCAAGTCAAAGTAAATGCACAGAAAATATATAAAAAACAAACTTTTCATCCACAGGATAAAGCTTTCGGTAAATCCCTCAAAAACAAAATTTCAGATTCCTCCATTTTGTAAAACATTCACAACAAACTTTACTTTTTTTAATTAAGTTAAGGATTTCCACGAAAGAAGAAGCTGAGAACTTTTTTATTTCCTCCCAGCTATGCTTGTCAAAAGTGTTGAAATGTAAAATAATCAATAATCTCATTGTAAATGGTATTTTATGGATATCAACAGAAGATTGAAATCTATTGCTTTACATTTGTAAACATTTAATCTCATTGAATCACATTTGATTGACAATTATCCTGGTGGAATATTATCTCGATTCCAATTCTAATTTTATACAATGCTGCAACTGCATAATCGCTGAAGAAATTAATGCAAACGGATGGGAAATGAATTTAACTTTAAGTAAACAAAAATGTTGTTGATGATTGAAATTTAGAATTTAAAAAAGCATGGAGTTGGTCTTGTAGAATGTCTTAGTTCTTTGGGATCGGAGAGATCTTGTACTGTTTGAATAAAACAATCAAATGCTGTGTTAGTGATGAGAAAATAAAGTTTTAAATTTTCTATCAACAATAAAAATAATGAAAATTACTAATCATGTGGTTATCCCCTCTGACTATAAAGCTAAGCATGAGAATATATTAACACTCTATTAGGGAAGGAAGTAGGAATAATTCGTGCCTCATTAGAAAGACAATTCGCTTCTCACTAGTTCTCACATTTTGCGAACAAAACTAGTTGCGGTTCTAGATTTCAATTCCTCATAAACCTCATTTATGAACGACTTCTAAGTAAAATTTCCATTTTCATACATCAACGAAAATGCATTTAGAAAATGGATGTAAAAAGGAAAAAAAAAGTTTCTTTCCTTAGTAAATGCTTGCACCATCTGCATAGCATTTAAATGGCATTTTTAATATCTTCCCTATTTTTTTTTTCCTTTTCTCATTCTCATTCTCTGCATTTCCCGGTTTGGCAGTTCTTTTGAGGATATAAATTTTCTCTCTTACATGTGCAAATGATTGAGAAAAATGAGAGAAAATTGTAATATTTACTAAAAGAGGCAAAAGCTGGAGGAAAAAATAATAAGGAAGAAGATGGAGAAAAAGTTTGATTGTAAGCAATGCTGACGTTGAAATGCCACAGACGGTAGATTGCTCAAAGGAAAATGTAAATATTCGCCTAAACGAACGCTAATGCAATTTTCATATTGCTAAAATTTCATTTTTCCATCATATTGAATGTGAGCGCATGTACATTCGGAGGTTCTATTTAGAGCGAAAGATATCCGTAACACAGATACATGAATGTTAAATATAATATATGGATGAAATATAAGCTCACATCTCGTATCTCATTTTTACCTTCGAAGAATAAATTAGCCTCAAAATTGTGAATGATGAAATATTTGTCTAGACTAACAAGGCGCATTTTGTAAAGCTACGATAGTTCCATTCACATTCTTTTTACCAGGAACAAGTTATTAAATTGAGTGAAATCGATCTGACACTTCTTTATCTATTGTCTTAACCTATCTATTATATAAAGGCAGTCATTATTTCCCTCAATAATATTCATGAAAGAAGCATTTTAAGTGATGCAAGCATTAATTTCTATTCTCATGGGTTTTGTTTTACGAGTTTCTGCAGTAATATATTATCTGGCATGTACTAAACATTTGAATGTTAATGCGGATATGGCATTAATCCTGTCGGATAAAAAGTGGTAAACATTCGGCAAATTTACTTTTGCAATACTTTTTGGTTTTTGGAGTTGCATCAAAGGGACTGTTCATAAGTTACGTCAGTGCTTCTCAAACTTTGTGGTCCATACTTATTTAGTAAACATTTCACGACGATTTTGACCCCAAACCCCCCGACCACACCTATGTCTATTGTCCTACCTATATTTTTGATTCATTTTGATTCCTTGGCTTGGGCGCACGTCACTCAGAGATCGTTTAAAGACAGCTATATCCTTCTGCCAATTTGGGATATTTAGGACTCTTACGTCCTTTTCAACACATGCAATCCATCCTACCTACATGCTTTACAATTATACATCCATTATACCTAAATCTATTTTAGTCTTTCCCAGGAATACTTTGGGAAAATTCACGCTTTGTGATCTACATCCAGCTGTGCTTGTCATCTGGCTCAAAATAACCACTTTCCAGATTCCCAATAATTTTCATATAAATAATTTTAATATAAATTTCAGCTGAACAACCACATCATGGCGAGATTCTATTAGCAAGAGCTAAAATTTTACAAACTCGATCAACCGTCTAATCAAATTGAATTATATAGCACATATTGTTCAAATAGGAATTACTGTAAAAGGCGGCAACAACCAACCAAAAAAAAGTCTACATTTTGCTCTCTCATTTCAATTTCAGAATGATGAGGCAAAAATTCGTTCTTTATTGTGGTGTTGATGCGATGAATATTTTCCTTGCCTTTATTAAATAAAAATAAAATAAGAAAGCAGTTATTTTTTTGCCTACCTGCACAATGTCTCCCTGCTCGTGTCCGCTGGCAGTAAATGTTAGATGACATAAAAATGGAAATCGTTGTGGCGTTGGCACTTGAATTGAATACGTTCTTCCAATATCGCCGTAATATGTGCGATTGCAGACTGCGAACGACAAACGTCATGTCAAAAAATAAATATGTATGTCTTAATTTTATATTATATTTTTTGTGTACCTGTACAAAATTTGGGCTCATCACTCAAATCACCGCACTGATCGATTCCATCACAATATTTATCTAATGGTAAACACAGCCCACTTCCTTTACATGCAAACTCCGATATTTTGCACGACCGTATCAGAATAATGAAATTTAATAACAAAATGCCACAAGCACCAAGCGTATCGTAACGGATGATCTGCAAAAAAAAAACAAAGTATGAAGAATCAATTATGGAAAAAATAAATTCATTTTTTTTTCATTTGCATGAAAACTGAGTTTTAGGTTTTCATAGCAATTTGCGCTGCTTTCTGTAGCCATTTAATGATGTGGATGTATATATGCATCCAAATAGGTATATACGAGGCAATTATAAGTTGATAATAAATTATTATGATTACTCTATTAATTTTACGCGGTTGTATGCATTTTAATGAGTTTTACGGCTTTTTAAGCGTATAAGCTGGTAAGTTTGGAGATGAACAATACCTCTTATTATGACATCTTTCCAATGACAAATTATTGATTTCATGATAATTTCATTACGAATTGAAAATGACTCTGTGCAATGAAATTATGTCTCATGTATACATGCACAGTGTGTCATTAAATATTTTCCTACAGAGTTGTTTGTCGGTAATTTAGTGAAGCTTGTGTTTAAATTTATGCACAAATAAGGACGTCTTTATGTCTCATGCCATACTTTTTGAATATCATCATGCTTGGCAAATATTTGAAGAATTTTTTACGTATGCTTTTTTTGCAGCAGAGTTTTTTTTATTTTTTTATAACGATTTGTTTGGTCATTGTCGAGCTATAGCCCAATGATTTAATTATCAATGTGATGCCTTCAATTTTTATGGACAATTTTTAATTGAATATTCACTTCTCTAAGATGGTGGAGGTACAGATTCAAGTTGTTGCTCACTTACGATGTGGAACAAAAATAAAAAAAAAACTTTAACACCCCCCCCCCCCCCCTTCAATTCCTCTCTTTTTTCACGAAGGAACGGTTACGATTTCATTCCAAAACACAAGTCGGTTAATCGAATAGAAAACCTGCACCCCAATGTTAGCAAAGAGAACAGAGTCCGTTACAAACAAAAAAATTTCAAAATTTTCGGGCGGTAATTTTTTAAAATTTCAAAATAAGAAAGTCCGTTACTTTTTATTTTTTTTAAAACTAGCTGTTTTTTAAAGCATAAACATTTAAGGAATGCAATTTCATCACAGTGATTACCTTAATCATAAAAACTAGTAGGAATGTTCACTAAAATTACAAATTACTCGAAAAATAATAATTCACGACGAATTTTTTTAAAAATAAGAACTTCGAAGATTCGATTTTCGAAAAATAAGAACCTCAAAAATTTGAAATTCGAATAATAAGAACTCAAAAATTTCTGTTTGCTAGCATTGGCCTGCACCAAGCCGAAATGCATGACTTTGGTATGGTGCTGGTTTCGATTTTAATATCCAGCACTACCCGGTTTTTTGCTAGATTTCTGATCGATGAACCGACTTATACCATTCGGATTAGTTGCTTTGATTCAGCACTAGCTTTACCTTGATTGCGCAGCACACAAGTTTGCAGCAAGAGTGCGAAACTGAAAATTATCAAAATGTAATTTATCAGTTTCGCACTCTTGGTTTGCAGTTGATGATCTTAATGATGTGCCACAATTATTCTATGAAAAGCTATTGGCAATATCAGGTATGATGTGTAGTTTCATACCCTGTTTTTTCGTTATAACCTAGTAGCTTAGTAGAATATAAAAATAAATTTTTTTTGGTCACTAGTAGCTTAATAAAGAGTAGTAGCTTATAACGAAAGAACAAGGTATACAATGAATTTGAAAATTTTAAAGCTAAAGAAAATTTTCAACAATTAAAAACTCACTTCAAGTGCATACTGAATATCAGTAAGTCCAGAAACTATAGAACTAGCTGTAAACTTTAAGTAAAATAATAGAAACCTTTAAAAAAAACTCACTCAACGAGAAAATTGTTTAATATAAAAAAAAAATAATGAAATATGAGAAATTCGACGCTTTCTACGATCTTCATTGTATGAAAAGAAATTGCGAACGATGATTTTGAAGAATTATTATTATTATTAGCTACAGAAAATTCCTAATTTAATATCTTCCCCTCTCAAAAAAAAAGCTTGGATGAAAAAGTTCCAAGAAATTTAATATTAAAATGATATTCAGCCTTAAAGTCACATACCTCGCAGGTGTACATTTTCATCACCTTAAATAGATTCAAATTAATTTTTATCATTCACCATCCGCTTTTTATAAAAGGAAGTGTCAAAAGCATTCCCTCAATTTCCATGACAATCGACATGATAACATCTCTGGCTATATTTTAAACAATTTTTTTAACTCAATAACTCTTCATCATCACGTAAACATCTCTTAATTTCAATATTAAAGCAATAAAAATTAATGATTATGTTGCTATTATTCAGCATTCATCTACAACCCTATTAATTAACCAGTCGGAAAATAAAAGTTTTCTCTGGAGGAATTTGTGGGCTGTTTATGTGCACAATACAAACAAAAAAAAATATATGTAGAGTCTGGGATGCAGGAGAAGATTTTAAAGCATGATTTCATTATAACTAAAGTAATTAAAATTAAAAAGTTTTTCATTCTGATTTCAAAACTTCATTCATTTCTATTCATCCTGAGACTCGATATTCATTTTTTTTTTATTCCTTGATTCTCACTTCTTCTTTTTCTCCTCGGCAGCATTTAAAATTCTCTTTTCGTACCTTCTTTTCCATTAGTTTGATTATCTTTTAAGCTCAACATTTAACGTATGCTACAGTTATTAAAGGAACATTTTTTACTTCTGCTTTATACACACATTACACTTAATTTATTACTGCTTTATAGATGAAAATACCACAAAAACCTCAAAAAGCTCTTTTTTGCTTACTTTCGTTTTCTCATTTTTCAGTATAAATTTTCTTTTTTGTGAGACTTTCAGTTTGGAAAATGTTAATAATTTAATTGCTTTGTCCTTCTGTCTGACTGTCTGCTGGCTCGTTCGTTATATTATTGATAATTTGAATGGACTAGAAAGGGGGCTGCAACTTGATCTCAATGATCTAAGTAATTAATCTTGGTGAGGCAGTAGAATAGAGTATCCCTAGTAAGGAATCGTTCATAAATGACGTTCTATTGTTCAAAGAGCTTCTTAACCTTCCTTCCCATGTGACGTCAATTATTAGCGACGCGCTATTTAAAGAGCCACGAAATCCCATTTTGGGTTTCATAAAATTCTATATTAGCGCACCCCCCCCCCCCTTTTTGTTTCGAAATGCATTCAAAAATGCGCTTTAGATTCGCGTACTCACAATCTTCATTACCAGTTATGCTCATTCTCATTCGATATGAGAATTGATAAAGAAGAAAATGGGGTTGTAAATGGTTTGTATTCTACGATAAATGAAAGAAGAAAAAAATAAAATAAAATGAACCGAATTTTATGGGAAGTGAATAAAAGTAATAAAGTCGAATTTTACAAATTTTAAGACAGGTATTGTGTGGGAAAATTTTTCAGTAAGTTTTGCACACTATGGAGTGTAGTTTGTGGGATGATTTACATGATAATATAATCATAAAGACTTTTGGCTTTCAACATGAATGCCTGGCAAATCGAAAAGGCTTCTCGGCAACTGCAAAATGATCCATCAAATATGGAAATTCTAAAGGTTGAGCCTTCAAGAATATTGAATGTAATGGAGCTTTTGATTTTCTGTGAAAACATGCGATGCTTTTAGAGCAGTGTTGTCTAAACTGTGTGCCGTAGAAACTTTTTGATACTGACTTACGCTGGATGCTGTGTGCGACTACGTTCATGGCCTTCTCCTCAGGTGTGCCGTGGCTCAAAAAGTTTGGACAACACTGCTTTAGAGATTATGCATGTCATTAATCCAAAAGTCTATTGAATTAGTTTTCAATAGTTACAATTGACTGACTAAGGCACACCAACTGCCATTTTAAATCTCGTAAAGCTATCAGGTCACACAATTATGCAGCTTCACACAGTTCAAAGACCACTGATTCAAAACTACAGCAAATTTTAATAAATTGCAATTTTAAAGTCATCAACTGCATTATCAGATGACCAAGTGCCTCGAAAAAAATACACAATACCCAGATTTAATGCTTTTCATTTTATTTTTTCGACCATTAAATGCGATTTGGAAGTAAGTCATAAAAATGAAAATGAATTGAGATGCTTGATAGCAGCACTTAAAAAAGAAGCTCACACAATTGTAGTTTTCTGCTGACTAGTTTGTTGAGCATCGGAGGAATAGGGAGGGATGTAGGCGAATACATTAATCTCAAAATCTTTTGAATTTGCAAGACTATTGTAAAGAGGCTGGATTGGATTGGTTGTGTAAAAGGACACTAGAGTTCTGAATATCCGAGCCAAAGAAGTAAGTAAGGAGGTAATAATAATAATGTGTGAAGGGCCCAGCCTTTCAGCTGGAGGCACTGCGATTCAAATTAGAACATAATCTATTGTACCACACCCTTTAGTGGATTTGCTATTAAATAGCAAATGTAATTTACCAACAGTAAGTTGTTTTAATAATAACTAGTAAATTGCAAGTTGTAGAAAAGAAAGACTAGCAATTTGCTAGTTAGTCTCGCCAGGGGTTGGTTTAAGACGAAGCTTGACACAAGACTTAGGGACTTTGTATCTTTTCAATTCAGTTTCTTTTGTCTCCGAGTAAATACTGAATGACACAAAGGTTCCCGTTAGAAGTTGCACGGAGTCATTGCCTACAGTTTATAGTGGAATCCGAACCACTTGGACCTGATGGACCCTGCAATGTACCTAGTCACAATTCGTGTGCGCAAGATGCCGTAAGTAAGTCATCCAGATGCTAGTATATCCTTGTATACCTAGCAAAGGAGGCAGATTCTGTGCCAAAGACCTCAAAACTACACCCAGCACACGAACCGAGATTCGTAACCAGAACGGTGAAATGGAAAAAGAGCTTCAAAAATTAGACATGGCCTGGGATTGAACCCAGGACCTTTGTAGGAAGTAAGGAGGTAAGTATTGTTAAGAGGAGCCCTAAAATTTTTAGATACACTCTTGCTGACTACGTCTCTGCTGAACATGTTGAAATGAATAAACTGGTAAACTTCTTTTTTGGAATAAAAAAAAAAA